CATCTTTTGGATAACATGACAGTTTTATGCTTAAATCAACCATGATAAGAGCTTCAGTGAAGTTAAGCTGTTATCTTGCAACAGTTTTATCGTATATTTCTGGATGTGTGCAGTGGGTTGATATCTGGTTTGAGGTGGAATGCACCATTAGTGTTCTTTTACAGACAGACTACAGTTGGGCTGTTTCTGTGTTTCTTCCTGAGTTTTATGTCAAGCAGTCACGTTTGCCTCCAGGGTTTTCTTAGTTCCCCTTTCCTCCATTTAAGCTTACTTCCATTAAGAGCCACTGGCTTTGTGCACTTAGACCTTCCACATTCTAAGCATATTGACAGCTACAAGAACATTAAGCCATGTTGTTTGGCTCATCTGTGAATTATAACGTTTTTTTTTCCCTCAGAACTTTCCCTTCTTTAAGTATTTTTGGTAGATTCAGTCCTTGTTATACACCTTTAGTGAATACATGTAATTTGTTAAAAGAACAATTAAGTCTGTGTTTTTTTAAGGCAACAGTCCTGGTCACTTTCACAAAAAGGGATTGGATTTTTTTCATTGAATAACAGGCTTATTTATACAAGCAAAAGTGAAAGTACAATATGCTTCAATTATGCACAATTGCCCTTCAGTATTTAATTATGCATGAACATTAAACATTTATCCAGGCTTACTTCCTGCAAACAGTAAAGCTGAAGCTTTTGAAATAGTTCATGAATTCCCATTATTATGTAATAATAATGTCACAATAGTTTCTCTGAAAACACACAAAACTGGGTGTTATACAGCAGACTGACGAAAGGGAGATATTGCTGACAGCCAGGGAAATTCTGGTTTGATGAACAATCACAATGAACAAGAAGTTGCTTCTTTGAAAGTCAGTGGTTAGAGGGAAATAAAACCACTGGGTGAAAATGTTCAGGTCAGAACGTTGCTGTCAGTGCTTGCTTGAATTGATTCATCTGACACTGACATCAAACTCTTACATTTACTCTACACAGGATAGCACAATCTTGATCAACAAGCAACTTCTTGCTGCGACCTGCAGCAAGATAGATTTTGACCACTAAACTCCACCCATATCTAATTTATCTGTCAAATTAGTCTAATGACATTTGAAAAATAAGACCAATACATAAAGAAGTTTTAAGTATGTTTAAGTCAGTCCAGTTTTCTGATCTCACTAAATCTCTAAAAGTAACATGAATTTGTACTTCGCACAGTTTTATGCTCAGTGTCAGTTAATTGTGTATCTTAAAAACCCAAGCCTAATAAAATACTCAAACTTACTTATTATTACCTTATTGTTAAGTCACATTAGATGTGAAAATCTCATTTTAAATTGTAAACAGTTCATTAAACAGACAGCGGATCATAGGCTTTTTCCATCAGTGTCTGTATTCACAAAATGATTTTTAAAAACCCTAAAATTAAATGAATTTGCATGTAAAACATGGATCCCTTCATACAACACCTCATGATGAGTCTTGTCTTTTCAGTGACAATGTATGACGTTCAATAACAAAATCTGCAACGCCATCAGTACAGATAGTGTGAGTTTAAAAATAGCTTCATTCTTTTGTGCGACAGGAATGCTCTCGGAGACGTTTGCTTCACATCTGCTCATCAATTTGCCCTTGTCTGTGAAATGTTTGATTTGTCTCCTCAACCCAGAGATGACTCATTTAATTCTCCCGTTGTTTTTGCCTTGGTTAGTGATAATGTTGTGGTCTTCTAATATTTTCAGTTGTGGAACAAAGTTGAAAATGTGGTGAGGAACTGATGTATAGAATATGCTGGAAGCTAGATGATACGATTTGCATAAAACGTTTGATGTTTAGTTTTTTCTTTTCTTTTTTTCTGTGTTCAATTCTTAGAAAAAATGGTCTCAGTTTCAATAGTACACTACAAGAATGATTCACCCATTGCGCACTTCTGAATTACTTGACCGACTCGTAAAAATATGTTACAAACCCAAAGAAAATTATATCAATACATCTGTAGACACTTTGCATGAAATAAAATCTGAAAGATTCCGACACAGTTTCCAGATGAGCTCAGGTGCAAATGAAGTCCATAGCATTGTGATATTTTCACAAATTTGCATTAAATTATGGGATTCTATGAATGAACATCATACCTCATTTTGCAACAGAGGCACTCATGGATAAACTTTTCAAAGTTCCATCAAAGTTGCGGATTATCAGTCACAAAGTACAATGTTGCTCTGTATTATGAATGATATCACTCTTCAAGAATGATGCACTCACAAAATGACAAGGCTTTCATCTGAGTGTCATGTGATGTTTGAACTACAATAAACGCATTGTAGTAAACGTTACCTGTTCTGATCTCACCGCTCGGCAGCCGCTGCAGTCATTCATCAACTATTTTCCACTAGTCATTGCTTAAGCGTTTCTCCTCCCAATGTGTGCTAGCATGTATTTTCAGTTTTGAATAGATTTTATCAGCTTTCCGAGTTGTGTCGCAACCGTCTTTTCTGTCACTGAGAGACAGAGAAGTAAAAGTGCCCTACCCTGTTCTTTCTCTTCTTTTTTCTTTAATGTTGCAAGACAGAAAATACTTTTTAAATTGTATCTTGTTGTGCCCAATCAATATTTTATTTTCATTGTAGAATAGGTGTATACACTATGTGCAAGACAACACGTCAACAGACGATTCTTTAGCTGTAAATGCAAAAACAGACAACTTTACATGTCCGTCACTCGCTTACGATGAAACCTTAGATAAGCATGTCAACAAAGCACGCTAACTAGCCTAGCAAACTGCTGTTTACATTGGATTATGTCCGAGCATGTTCTTCCATTTTAATTAACATCATAGTGTCAGGATGGACCTGTCCAGTTTTATTGAATTTAGCAGTAACAATGGTTAGAAATATTGCACTCAATAATTACGGCATTGGATGCACAATCAAAAATGAAGCAAGTGTGATAGATATTGAAGACATTTTATAAACCCGGTTAACTTACATCATGATGGAACTGACCCTTGTGACCAAAAATGATTTGCATCCACTAAACTTTCCCACGCACTCATGTGAAAGTACAGCTCAGCCATGCATGCACTATTAGGGGTGTTGGCCACCCTACAATCTACTCCACAGCTTTGCACATGTACTCATTGAAGTTATGTTGTGGAAAGTTTTAAATAAACCCACTTCAGCATTTTTCTAACCACAAAAATACCAGAGTAACTGACAACGACACCCCGTAAGGAATGTGGAAAAGCACCACAAACACATTAACATGCCTATCCAAACACACAAAAAGAAGTGTAAAGTGTCCCATTTCCATACGCTGACGGAATTAGGATAACAGGGACACGCATGTATGATGTCAAATGATACTATTCGTAAAGTAGTATTTTTGAATTTTATTTTTATGCATTAAAAAGCAAAAAACATGTTTGTCAGTAAAGATGGATTACATCTTCACAATGTGAGCTGTTCTCGGAACAGTTTGGGGTATTTTTCTGTTTTAGTTTCAATACAGATTCACAGCTGCAAACATCCTGCCTCTTAGTTGTTCTGTGACTCATAATCAGACACTTCATTTTCTTTCTTCGTGAAATTTTGCCTTACTTAGAAAAATAAATTAATTTTACATGGTTCTTTTTGTAGTTTGTTACACGTAGCTGATGCTTGATGCCGGTGAGTTTTACAGTAAAAACATTTGCAGGACAGTAACCACTTGTTTGTGTTCTTCCAGATTTGCGCACAGAAATGATTAATTGCTCATAAACACAAGCACATATTAGTTTTGAACAACAAATTTTATTGTTTTTTTTGCTAAATGTTGTGAGGATTGCTGATAGAGAGTTGTTCTCTTATTCTATATTGTACATATTTGTATAAATGTGGACAATGTATATATGTCACATAAACAAGTGTTGCTTTTCACATTAAACTGATATTTGTTATGTTTTGCAGTGGCAGTGTGTCCGGACCTCTATTAGTGAAACAATAAGCCTGAAGTTTCTTCGTGGAGGGCATGCTGTCATTTTTATGGCAGCATGATCCAAACTGAGTGAATGAGGGTGTGAACGGGTTGATAAGAAACACAGTGGTTACTTTTACCAAATAGAGCAATTACTCTAAATTGGATCCTGCAGAGAAAATAATATTTTCTGATTACCCCTAAACAGGTTTGATTATATTCAGAGGGAGCAACTATCATTTTGTGTAGATAATTCTGATCTTAGTTGCATTACAGACAACTGTTCATCTTAATCCCACTGCAATGTCCCTGAAGAGGCTTCGCAAAACACACGCTTCAGAGTCACCAGATTCCAGAGACAACGAGAAGCCAATTTTGGGGTAAGAGCAATGTTCAAATAGGGTTTGATGTTTGAAATAATTGTGATGTAATTAGCGTTGTAAAAAGCGACTTCAGAAGTGGTTTAGATGCATATGTGTCTCATGTGTCATTGTTTTGACTTAACCCTCTCATATAGAAATCTGAATTGAAAATCTTAAATGCAACACAACGCCTTTCCCCATGTATCTTTTTTCAGAAGAAAAAGGGAGAGCTTCTAGAGGGGTTGACCAACAGTCTTCCTGGATCTGTATGTCTATGTTTTTGTCTGTTTTTGTAAGATCTTGAATGGGCTGTACTGAAATCAGAACTTCCTGAAGGAGTAATTCCAATGGATAAATAAAGCTGAGTCTAAAATCTTTAAACTCTATGAATGAAATATCATTCTACTTTATGATTCATTTTCAGCTGATTCTGGTGCAAAGACCTTGAGATTACCCTTTCTTGAGGCCTTTTAATTTCAGCGTCAAACTATCAACAAAGGAACCATTTCATGTACCCACCATAAACATCACAAGGGTGGAAATCTTCCTTTCCTACTGGAATTTTACAGCTGTGAGTCAGTGACAACAGTAACTGAGTCTCTCAGCAGTTATCATCATGTCTATCGTAGGTATTTAGATGCGTGCACCAGCAGGCCCTCAGCGTCATAGCTAAACCCTCTCTGTTAGGTTAAAACCATGCTCAAAAGGGAAGAATAATATCTAAACTCTCATTTCCTTGAAGGAAAATTCCAGGGATGTTAAAATGCCTAAACTTTTGTTTTCAAAGATTCGCTTTTATGAGATTAAAGACCTGATACCGAATGTGAAACGGCCTAGAAGGTAAAGCTCGACTACACTGAAATTATTTACTTTTCTTGTTAAATTTACCGTGTGATACAGCATTATTGAATTACTTTAATTTGTTTTGCAGGATTGATATTGTACTTACTAGAAAGAGGCGAAAGAAGGACATCAACTGCCTCTCGGTACAAAAAATAAATGATGAAAGATATCCTCCAAACCTGAGGTAGTACTCTTCCCTTTTAGGTATTTTTTCACTCGTTAGCTCAAAACGTATTAGTCACAGCTCTCTTTGTTACAGTTGGCAATCTGATCATAAACTTCACCAGTCTATGGAAAAACTACTGAGGGATAAAAGTAAGAAGTTTTACATTTAATCCTCAAAGTCTTTGTAATGGATTTAAAATGGATTGTTAAACTGTTGTGTCATGTAAAACTCATAGCATCAATCCTTCTCTCTCTCCATCTCTCTCTCAGAATACTTAGCAGCATTCCACTCTTTCCTGCAGTCCGAGTTCAGTGAGGAAAACATTGAGTTCTGGCTCGCATGTGAAGACTTTAGATCAACAGCCACACCAGACGACCTGCTCTCGAGGGCAGAGAAGATCTACCGGGATTTCATCCAGCCCACAGCCTGTAGAGAGGTCAGTCTGATGCCAGGGTGGGTGGTTGAAAGTAAAAACAGCTTTATTCTTCTCACCCCCTCAAATTAGTTACATTTATCCCTACATGGATATTTCAGAACAAAGCAAAGCACGATTGCATTAGCACAAAAAACAGCACCTCTGATCAGCAATCTTAATGATGAAATGATTAACACAGTCAGTGGAGCAAGATAGATGACTACTTAATGTCTCAACTTCCCCTTCTCGTGGTGATACACGTCGTCCATTTTCTGAGTACGCTGCAGTCATTTAAAAGTATTCCACGCCTAAATACGACTAAGTATGAATGGTCACCTCAATAATAAAGCTGATGATGTCTGTTTCCTGATGGGAATGGTGTTCATCTTAAAGCTTCATTCCAAATTGTAGATAGGTAAGAACACTTTATTTATGTAGCATCTCTCACTGATAAAACTCACAAAGCCATGTTAGCGTTGTTACATTTTGTGCTTCCACAGCATTTAGTGTTATGGGATGTCTCATTTCGATGGACCAAATTCTGGCTTCGGTTGTTCTTCATTCTGAGTTTCGCCTGGTGTGGGAATCATTCAAGCTCATTCTGTAGACTAAAATTTGACTGGTTGGTTTTGCTTTTTTTACAGATCAATGTAGATCATCATGTAAGAGAGAAGATCAAGAAGTCATTGGAGGCACCAAGCCTTACCTGCTTTGACGAGGCTCAGAAACAAGTTTACCTGCTCATGCAAAGAGACTCTTGCCCCAGATTCCTGCACTCAGAAGCCTATATGAGTCTTAAGTGCAAATCAAAGTCTCTGTGGTATATCTAATTTAGAGACAGAAAGTTACTGTTCCCATTTTCTGTTTCGGATTTGAGGAGTTATTTGACGTTGCATGAGAAATAACACCTGCTTTTCAAATACCGAAGTGTATTATTTAGCTCTAATTGCAAAGTGAAACAGTGTTTTCCAACATGGGTGACCTCAAACCATTTTATGTTGGTAAAATTGGGTTAAAATAAAGCACAAGAAGTTCCATAAAAGCAAAGGGGAATCAGATCAGGCACATACAGATGAGAGAATGGTGTGTTTGTGTTGTAGCTGGGTGGTTTTAAGTGTTCATCTTAGTGTTCTTTGCAATTCCGATTCAGCTGAACTGCAATGCAAGGAATTATAGATGATAAAATTAAGGATGAATTTCATTTTCAGTGGAATGGTATGACCTAAAAACAGGCAATGAGATCAATTTACAAATTCACAGACTCTTATTTACCACCGTCACCTGAAAACTGATAGATGATCGGGGTCATTCCTCCTCACACTCTATAACCATTCTTAACTTTCTGATACTTCCACAATTTTATAATTTATATTTATCTAAGTGAATAGACTAACTGTAGACAGGGCGATGGGCATGAGTCAAAGAAAAAAGTACAGAAAACTGTTTCCACAGCTAACCCCAAACAGAGATTCTGTTTTAAGAACTATATGTGAACTATCATTTTGCAGGGATGACTTGGGATGAATTACACCAGCAATTCGGTTTAACAAAGTGGAACAAAGCAGCCTTTCTGTGACCCTTGATCCCGCAAAGTTCTTTAAATGGCTTTATTCCTAAAATATTGCCTAAAAAAGGAGTACTGAAGCAGCTAATAATAGCTCAGGGGCTTATATGACAACACTGGAGTCATCAGACAACCTGAAGCGTAATGGTCTGAATGTGCTTCCTTGTTAGGGGAATAATCTCATCAGCCACAGGCAATGACAGGACAGATCCTTGATCCCTTTACTTAGAATTGTAGTCTGTAAGATCATTTTAGTAAAAAGCACCCTTTTGTTTAAATGTGGGCTGTGGAATTTGCAATTTATTTTGTTCACCATGAATGACAATTTGCTGCCATGGGTTGTTGATCTACCATTTGAAACTGAGTATACTTTCCAAAAATAATAAAGTATTGAGAAAATATTGTGGTGTTGTGTAATGAGCACATAATTACACATCTAAAATGTGTAATTGTATTGAATTGGACAAATAAATAGTTCAGTTCAAAGTTAATCATCTTACAATAGCAATGTAACATCTGTATTTTGTTTCATGTTTAATGTCAGTCATGTGACAGCATGGGAAACCCAAACCACAAAGTCTGAATTTGGGAAAGCTTCATTTTCTCATCCTACTTGTGCATTTTGTAACATCTAAGCATTTAACATCTAAGCACATCCCTGAAGAACTAGGGTCTCGTCAAGTTAAAAAATACTCTTTATACATAACCTCAAATAACAATGTTGAAGATAACTCATACAATTGACATCTGTTATGTAACGGATGTCACTGTGAGATTCTTTGATGAACAATTATAGCCATAAATAATTTGTTTTGTTAAAAAAATTTCAGAAACGATTAATGCAATTTTAGAAAATAGGTTTCAAGATTTCCCCTTGTATAACAAATCAAAGTTAAAAGATTTGTCTCAATGGGAGTGACGCAGTTTTGTTTTTTTTTATCCACAAAGTACTAAGCTCAAAATAAGTAAAATCGATTGAATTTAGAGGTTGAAACATTTAAGGTTTGACTTCTTAAGGAGGGTGATAAATGGTCTCTGTTCTGAGTAGCTTTTAAATCAGTAGTTTTCCCCTCAGGTTTCCACAACCTAACTTACAAAAAATGCCTTAGGAGTTTGAAAAAAAAACCTGCCAGTAAATGGAGGACAGTCTTTATGAAAAGCTGTTTATGAGCCCCAGTTTATTTCAGAGCTTCACATCAGTAACTCAGTGTACACTTTTGTGTTCGGGGCTGCTCCTGATAAATCACAAAGTCCTCACATCTTCTTCATCACATGTCATATCATTTTCACAATCTGTCCCGTTTTTCTTCATCGCCCCTCAGTGTTGCTATAGTAACTGAAGAACGTGAATACTGTTTATGGCACAGTGTTAGAGTCACAGTTAGGGGAGCTTTACATCCAGATCTGTTAGTGAGAGACTTTGTCCCTTACACTTAATTATAGCCATCCATAGTCTAACTGCAGGCATAGATCATGCTATTGGTTCTCACTGTTTGGTGTCTCCTTGTTACACCTCAGTCCTTACAACCGTGTTTGGGCAAGAAAACGAAGAAATAAAAAAACGAAAGCAGCGGTAAAGCCAAGCCAAAGGACAGATTGTAACAGAGCAGCACATATGGAAACAGTTTTGTTCAACAGTGACAACAGAAGTGTAAAAAGAAATGTAAAAAAATACCTTCAACTGAGAGGGTTTAATCTGTTATTTTCAGTTGTTGTATTCCCTCAGTTATCATACAGCAAATTCCAAATAAACCCCCTGACAAGAAATTTACCATGAGACATATTTTCATTTGACTTTTACAGGCTTTCGTTGGAGTGCACTAAAATAGGGGCCACTTGTATCTACTTATTAAGATTTTAATGTTACCAATTCACCAACTGTGCAAAAAGTGGGAATTAAAAAATACCATAGGCAAAGTCAGCCAACAGACCTACAAACTTGTTCATTTCAAGCATGCCACTACGCTGAAGATAAGATCAAAGTTTACATGATGTTCGATGCTCAAGCCCATAAATTCCCACACTGCCTCTCCAATTATCAGCAGAAACCTCTACTTAAAAGCAAGAACAACATATCTGGAGCTGATCACCGTTGATTGAAAGGAAACATGAAATGTCAAGGGTCAGAATTACTAATGCTAGTTTCAGCTAATGCTAGTCCATTGCCAAGACACTGTCCAGTTCACTACATGTTCTCACACTCCAAGTAGATTTCTGGCCGACCTCGGTTGTTTCTCCTCACCCCTGTCAGTTCGCAGTGTGTTGAACAGCAAACAGGCTCAGATGTAAAAAGGCTGTGCTCCAGCAGATATGCCTGAGTCTGCTGACACTGTCACTGACGTCCATATGTTGGGTATTGCTTCAAGTTGTGGGCTATCTCCTCTGTATGGTACTTAATGTTATAATTAATCTATTTTGAGGTTGAGACGTTGATCATATCCATCCATCCATCCAATATCGTAACCGCTTATTCCCTAATGGGGTCTTGGGGGGACTGGAGCCTAACCCAGTAGTCAATGGGCGAGAGGCTGGGTACACCCTGGACGGTGGTGGGAGGAAGCCGGAAAACCCGGAGAGAACCCACACGCACACAGGGAAAACATGCAAACTCAACACAGAAAGGTCCTGGGTCAGACCCAGAACCCTCTTGCTGTGAGGCACCGCACCGCCATTCCGCCCGTTGGTCATATCTACACTAAAAAAGTGTTTGTTTTTTACTTTGTCATCAAAATGATGTGAACTCTAGCTGATTGTTTTTCCTTTTTGTGGTTTTCAAGGGCTTTCTCTACCTGTGGTGAAATCCATTTTCCACTGCCTTAGAATTTTAGTCTAGATTTTGACGCTTCTGGAAGTTTAACTTGGTGACTTAAACAGGAGATGGCTCATTGTATGACGTCCTTAGAGTGTTTCTGACTTCCTGTTGCTTTGCTAAGCCTCTCTTTTGCAATCAGTTTGCTTGTTCCTCTTTCTGTCATATGGCTGGGGCCTCGTGTTGCTCAAATTTCCTTTTGTGTGATTATTTATTAATATATTAACTCTGTACAACTTGCAGAGAAGAGCAGTCCCTCTGTTTTACTTCACATATTTTCCTCCCCTTTGAAGGACTGCTTAAACATATGGCATGAGAAGGTTACAATTTGCCTATCACAGTCACTGCTACTGTCATTTGCATCTGTGCTGCCAGACTAAAAATAATGGGAACACAGCATGCTTTCAGGGATAGAGAGTGCTGTTTGTTTGGCTCATCCTGTAAAGAGGCGGGAATCAGAAGCCACAGCAGAAGGGAAGGAAAAGAAGCAGCAAGACATAATAGGGAGTAAAGCATCAAGAGGAGGGAGGAATACATGCAGTGCACCGTGAGTATGTGTTATTTCTAACTGTGAAGGAGGAGGAGAGGAGCAGGCGGAGGAGGAGGAAGGGGTGCTTCCTCTTTGGTCTGGGTTGAGCTGCGATGTATCCCAGCAGCCTCAGCATGTAGTGACAGAAAACCATATAAAACGCTGATTCGCAGGGGAAACCCTCCTAAGTGTCTCTCAGCCACAACATGACCAGAACTGAGGGTGTGAGAGTGTGGACCTTATAAAACAATGCACAGCTTAATCAGCGAAGCTCTCAACACACAATACTTCATCATGGACAAAGATGACAGGACGAGAAACATGTGAGTAAAGCCAACACTTACGGGATTTCCATTAGCATGTTATCTCAACGCTTTTTTTAATTTAACAATGCATTGCAACATTCTAAAGTTGTTTTGTTTTTTCGTGGAAAACCTATCACCCTCAAAACAAAGGAGTAAATATAATTAATGTTTGTTCATCATGTCTTCTGAAAATAACAAAAATGTTACTATTTTTTGTATCACATGTTCTGTTTTCCAACTTCTAGCATTGCCAACATGTTTTGACAGATTCACTGGAAACTAATCTAATAGGCAGTAAATCAAGTAGAGATGGACTAATGTACTTCTTATGTCTACACAGTGGAAAAAACTTTATGTGCCGACTTCAGTGCATGTTCTCACACTCGTCAGGCTCTGAGAGGTAAGGAGTCTTATGGAGTGTTTTGCATACATTTCAGTTTTAAAATAGCCAGCCTGCCCCAATCATTTCCATCTATGGCATCATGAAAGGATTCAAATGATCTAGAGACACCATGTTTGCTTTGGCACAGCACACACGCGCACCAACATATCCCAGGGTTGAACATTTTTGTATGAATTTGATAAGCACATCTGCAATGCTTTCTTGTCTAGACCGCCTCTGTGTCCTTGTAGTCTTTATGGGCTTTTTTTCACCCAAATTTGATTCTGGATGAGTAATCCAACTTGCATTCTCTCCCAGCAGGCTAAGTTTAGAAGATACCCAACAATGGTCACAGTCATTGGAAAGGCTTCTGGAGTCTAAATGTAGGTTCCTTTTCCCCTGAGAATGAGAACAGTAAATTAAGTTTGTGAGAATGATAGCTTAAAGGGAATAATTAGTTTAAAGAAAGACTGAAAGGGAATGTTATTTGTCCTTCATGCTTGGCGCTGTTTTTTCTGCCCACAGATGGACTGGCTACTTTCCGTAACTTTCTCAAATCTGAATACAGTGATGAGAATATTGAATTTTGGCTCACCTGTGAGGACTACAAGAAGATCAAGTCTTCATTCAGAATGTCTTCAAGGGCTAAAAAGATCTACGAGCAGTTCATCAAGGCAGAATCACCAAAAGAGGTATGCCAGGCTCAGAGGTCTGTGCATTCATACATAATCTCTGTCCTACTTCTTGAGCAATTTAGTATCAAAGAGAAAAAACTCAAGCTCAAACGTTGCATCTTACATCTCCCGCTCTTGGCTCAAATCCCCTCATTCCTTTCCATTTCTTTCATGACAGATCAACATTGACTATCACACTCGAGAGCAGATCAAAAGGAACGTCAAGACTCCCACCGTGCACTGCTTTGACGACGCTCAGAAGATCGTTTATGGCCTGATGGAAAGAGACTCGTACCCGCGGTTTCTCCGCTCGGACATTTATAGAACTCTCCTGGAAAGCTTTGCCGCTGACGCCACAAAAGGATGAAAGCACGATTAGGAGTGGACGGAAAGGACATAAAACCAATAACTGGAATGTTTGAGCTCCTTCAAGCGGAAGGACTGACAACAGAAAAGGGGAAGGAGGGTCAACCAGTGTGGCGCAAAAGACACAAGCGGGGGCCTCCGTCAACACTTGATCCACAAACAAGTCGTTCCCACACACTGAACGCCACGCTCCTGAGGACTCCACGAGAGCAGGGAGCAGCCCGCCAGATAAAAACCCTGTAGAGAACGCTTGCACTGGACGATAGGTTTGTGTAGGGTAACCGAGCGTCTTTGACGGTTGATGATTCAGCAGGGTGACGGACTCTACGTCTAACTGCTGAGCTGTGTGAACAAGCCACTCTACAGACGCCCTTTAGCCTTCTTTGCAGAGGTGCTTCCGACCCAGATAAAGTTCAGAGGATGTAAGATTTGACGGTTACGGGTGTGCGTGCGCGCATGCATGTGTGTGTGTTGGTGGAGGTGGAAGGCGTGACAGAACTTATTTTTTGCCGTTTCTGAATTCTAAGATACAGCATGACATTTCCAGTTAAAAGTTGTAGAGTGCCACCCTTTCTACAGGAGGCATTCTAGGACTTATTAAAAGCTATCCTCTTTTTTTTCTTCAATCTAGATTAATCCAATATTGGATTTTAGAGCCTGAGATTTGCATTCTTCGATAGATGAAGGTTTCGAATAAGTTGCATCTTGGGCCAATGATTAAAATCTTTTCAGGTTGATATTTCTTAAATTACAAAGTGGACGTTGTTCTTTTCAATAAGAATATGGGATAAATATATAGCTATTTATACTAACGCGACATAATCATCAGCGTATTTAAAAGGAATCTTAACAGTAGTTTGCACTATAGAAACAGAACTTCCCATTAAAAGCTGCTGACGGCACATTTGCATTCTCACCACCCAATTGTTGGTCGAAATTCTAAGAAATTTTTTATGGCACAGACATGTGAAGAGATGTGTGTGGTTAGACTTTTGAGTTTGATTATGTTAGAAATAGGATATTTCACATTGCATGATAGGGTGCTGAAATTCCTTGTATTTTAGTATAGGCTTTATTACTGCTATCCCACTTCTTTTCCACATTTTGTGAATGTGTTCATATTATATGGTCATTAATAGAAACGGTAACGTAAAAGTTAAAGATTGTTTTATTTATTATTCATTGTCACCATTTGAATACAAAGTTTGCAGCAGAGTTGAAGTGCTTGTCAAAATGTTAGAAATTTGAATTTCATTAAATTATTTAAATTGACAACTTACTAGTAAAATGGCTTTTTTATCTATTTTTTACATAGTTAATTTATCTGAAGGACACTTTGTTGTTTCATGTTGTCTTCGTCTTTTTCAGAAGCAGAAAGTCATCTTCTGATGCCCAACAGATATGAACTGTTTCACAAACAGGAAAACACGCACTTCCAGTTTCTTGAGAAATCAGAGATGAGAAATGAGATTTTCTTTGGTTGAAATTGGGCCTTCTCTGTTCTTTGGTGGAAAGCGGTTCATTGGAACAGATATTATTTGCAGAGATACACAGAGTAAATTATTTTTTTTTAAAATAGCAAAGTTAAAGACAGTATGGCCAGACTGAAGTGAACAGAAGATGAGGAAATTCTATTTAAAGTATTTTGTGCTTTAATGTTATAATCCAAAAAGATCAGTAACTAGCAGCCGTTATTAAAACTAAAAAAGAAAATGACAGTTTCCCTGCACTGGTCAATTGTAGATTTTTTTAACCCTAACCAAATAATTGACTAATTCCTAACCAGGAAGTGACACCTTTTCATCACGATATCCTGTGTTTGCATGACAGAAAAAACAAAAAAGGGGGAAAAAGAAAAGGAAAAGAGCAGCAACATCCAAATGGTGCCAAGAAATGGTGGCAGCTGTACCCTAAAACAATTGTGTTTTCTGAATATGGTTTTCTTTTGCTTAAAACCCATTCAGGAAGTGTTTTAGCAAACTGATGCGCCATTAACTGAATGTAACTGCTTTAGAGGAGTACACTATGGACCATTTATAAGGGTACAAACAAACTATTTATATGATAGTACAGTAGTAGTTTCACAGTTTCACACCTCTGCCAAATGCAAATAGTCGCAATTCATAGCACAACATTCCACAACACAACCGAGGGAGCCATCCACTTATCATAGAGCTGCTACAGGATGGACTTTAGTTCAGTTTTTGTTTATTTAGTTTTAGTAGTGCACAGTCAAAATATGAATACGTTATTTTCTAAAAGTCATACATAGTCAGTAACATAAAAAATAACGCTCTCTTCCGTCCTGCCCTTTAAAATGCAAGAAAACCTGGCTTTCGACAGGCATTGCATGGACTGGAATGTGGGAGAGACGGGCTGTCAACCCTGAAGCAGGTGATTTACTGTGGTACAGGAGGTGACCGATTAAATGGCTGCCCCATCAACAAAGCATCAGATTAATTATGTGCTTGTTTCATAAATACTCTGCTGGAGAGGGCTTTGTTGTTAATGTTGTAACTTTATGTGGGTAAGTCTTCAGGTCGGATCGACACGTTGCATATGAGAGGAAAACCAAAACACTTATAGAGGTCTGTGAATTTTAATTTGGTCTAAAACATCTATGCAGTGTAACCCAGAAGTTTTCAGTTAAAAGAGGTATTTAGATATTGATGTTCCTTCAGTGGTTCGTGTTTGATGTGAGCTAAAGCTAAAATGGGACGATTTTTCATTCTTTTTTAATGCACCTCATGTGCTTACCCCCACACGAACACAGGCCCTTACAGAGTTGATAGTCATCACAGAGCCGTTTTACCCCCGTAGCACATTATATATCCAAACCAACAGTAGTATAGATGAAGCCTGCAGTTTTCACGGAAGTAAAAAAAGAACACAAAAAATCTGAAATTAGTACAGCTATTATTACCACCCAGATGTGCCTCACTTTCTTTTTTGATGATTTGAAGGTTCTATGTAAAATGTCAACGAAAAAAAAAACACATTGATGCCATTTCCCATTCCTTACCATCACAGCAGTAAGTGGTGGAGCAAATGGAATTTCATTTGAAAGGAAGCAATTTTCAAAATCTCCGAGATAGAACAAGGCTATGTGACATTTTAGTCACATTATTCATATATATCAGTGTAGTCCTTTCTGTTTTCATATACCACTTTTCTTTTTTAGGTATATCTATTTATTCATTCATTCATTCAGAATATAAATGTAGATGAGAACAACAGGACGCAAAAGGACCTCCTTCTGTGTTCTTAAGGGCTTACAGTCTCTCTCATCATACTCCATCACACTCAGATGAAGCAGGAAAATTATACTTTTTTCTTTTTTTGTTAAAAACTCCATGCAGCTATTATATCTATGCCAGCATTTTATCAATTTATCAAAAAGCTGCAGAAACTCTGAGCAATTATCTAACACTCGTTGAACAACCACTCTGGATACAGTCTAGGCATGTTCCTCACTCATGTCTGCTTTTTGAAAGGCAGTTTTGGAAATTGAGCAATTATTCATAATTTCCTTGGCTTTTGGTGGAAATAAGACTTCCCACAGTGACCGATTCTGACGTTGCTGGATAAGAGATATGAAAGCTGGTAAAGATTAAGTCACGTCGGAATTGCTGTCAGTGATGGGCATGATGAAAATTAGTTGAACTGTCCCTTTTATCAAGTCAGTGGCACCAATCCTATCAGATAATAATCTGAATAGTGGCATTATGGGTTGTGATAGGACAGTTAGCAGTAGGGAGTGCCGCAGGTGTGTAACCACGGTGTGAGCGTAAAGTCCAACCCACAGAGAAAATGTCTTCAGAGGCCCTTTTGAAGTGTGTGACTTCCCTGTTCCCCCGAGTAGTCAGACTTCAGTCAGTCCTCATTGATTCAGGGAGATGTGTCACCATTTGACCTTTCTTACATGCTATCTATTTCTGTCTCCTGTAAAGGTGCGATTATTGAAGTGTAACTGAGTGAAGAGAAAGATCAAACGCCTCAGTGGAGCTTACAGTATGTGCCACTCCTTTGGCTTGAAGCCCATTTTGTGTCTGAAGCATTATATGGGTATTGTCGCAAAATTCTAACAGCCATTCATTTAAAAAAAAGACAGAGATAATCACAGGATTACAAGTCATGGGAGATCATTGGGAAAGGTCAGGTTAAGTCATCACACTTTAAATCTTGAACTTTGATAGTTGCATTTTAGGAAAAATAAATTATTTGTAGACTGGGTGATAGTCTAAGAAGGATTATTTCAATGGTTGTGTGTTTATTAACTAAAATGTATGGACGTAGCTTGGGATAATGACTAGAAAAGCATCAGGTAAAACCAAATTGAGTTAAAACAACTTCAGCTCTTGCTTGGGGCCTAAACTAAAAAACAATGGACAGCTGGCCAGATGTTTCTGCTGCTCTGGGCTTTCGATACGCTTTGGCTTTTATTGCGCTAATCAGAGTGTGTGTGATTTTTTTATTTTATCTATTTATTTGGTCTGAGTAAAGCACATATCTGCATTTCCTGTCGTGACAACAAAGTGACATAGCAAACTACGTCACCATGAAGACATGTTGAAATACTTGCTCCTTAAATTGCCTGAGGCATAAATACTGTTTCTAATGTGGCAGTTACTACATTCGACATATGAATTGGTCAGCCACAAATTTAGAAAAGGAAAAAGAAAACTGTTCTATAGATTTAGTTGATTCACACGATTGGACCCTGTGAGCTGAAATGTGGGACCGCTATGAATTAGATTTATTTCAGTTTTCCCATCCATTCATAAACACGCTTGATTCGACCAATAGAAGCCTCTGCAACTTCCTGAGCTCTTTCTCATGCATCTTAACTCACATTTTGGGATGAACTCATTGTCTTATAGATAAATTCCACAGCTGTAAAGGGACACCTTTGTCATATAAATTTGTAAGTTGTGTTTTTTGGGGGATGGTTTCTCAACGTGTTGACTGTAGCCAAACAAGTTTTGTTTACCCTTTTGAGCCTATATGGGGTCTTTAGCATATTCAAAGTTGTGTCACAATGGCAGCTCACATGTCTCTCTCCTGCACATAGTTTTCCAGTTCAAGGATGTAATGGTCATATATACCTCCTGTCATCTGTGCATACTCATATCCTAATCAGATGCTTCAAACATGTGTCAGTGAATCAATATATATATATACATTTGATGGGTTATATTGGCTTCATAAGAAAACTAATTAAACATGCAAGGAAATATCAATTTATATCAATATCAAGGACATATTGGGATTACCTGCTAATTTCAGTACACATAGATAACAAGTGTTTTTAAATACTAGAGGCAAGTTAGATGGAGACAGTAAAGTTTGCTTCAGGCTGAAAACTCCATTGATTTTCTTTCATTAATTTGCCTAATTGTTTGGTCAAATAAGAAATTGCAGGTTATTCACTCCTCACTCCTGACTGGTACTAGTGTCAGTCAAAAGTAGAAAAAACCCAGAGTGGTAAAGAGTTGAGTCATTCTTTGGGAATATTATAACTTCCAAACATAAAAAAGGACAAACAGTGCAAACCTGTGCTGGGAATCACCTACTGCGTACGGCTCTCTGCACAAAAGTCCTGCCTGAGTGGAAACTTGGCTCTCCTATCCATCCACTCCTAAACAGACGGCTGCTTACACACAGTCTGCACATGATAATAAACACACGAGGCGAACACCATGTTTTCACCCAGCTGAACACGTTCAGCAGAGAAGGGAGGCTGACGAGAACCACAACATTACACAGCAGCTGACGCAGATGCATTAGAGCGCTGTACAAAACGTGGTCATTCTTTGTGTGTATTTATCCTGTTCTCCAACAGAGAAACCCTTCCAGTGCTTCGGGAATATGATGTCATTGTCTCAGCTTATATTGTTCCTGGACAAGGACTTCACTGCATTGCTTTTTTTCTGGCATGGCAATGTTATGGTAATTTTCTTACTTAACTGGTGTCTAAATAACATGGCCTGACTCCATTGAAGAGCAGAAATAGCCTCTGTTTATAATGTTTTTTTTTCTTTTGAAATCCACAGTTTTGGATGCAAACAACAGAATATGGTAAGAAGTGAGTGGGATATAGATCACTCCTCTACTACTTATAAATACAAGATCTGCATGTTTAGCTGAACAGTTATTAGACATTTGGTTCACCCCACACCTTGGTACAGTAATGACATGCAGAACTGTACATGACACCAGCCATGTTGATTTTTAAAAACTAGAATATAATCAAGAGCTTTTTCCATTTCTCATGAATCGCTAGAATAGATTTAGTTTCAATATCTTTCAAAGAGCTATCTCAATTCGTGGAGATGAAGTTAATAAGTCATTTCTTTGGTATTTTTTTGTTCTAAAAAATCAATTGTAAAGAGGAAATGCAAAGATCCCGGTATGTGAGTATGCTGTCAAAACAGTGACTCTGTTTGCATTAGAGCAGTACAAAATGAAAATAGACAGGTCATCCTCAGTTAGAGCATGTCGTGCCATCATGTTGCTATAGTAACCCAGATGAACAAACATACAGGGGATTTAGGGAGGGATCTTTTTCCACCAAGTGTAATTTGGAAGGACCCCAACCACCTTTCGTCTTTAGCCAGCCATTCTGTGATGTGCCTCAGATGCAGAAATGGACATGAACCTCTGTATAAAACCTTGGTCAGCCCGTGCTTTTATACCGTCACAGGAGTCTTCCACAGAAACTTAAACAAGTTTTTTACATTGACTTAAATAAGATCTAATATTTGAACTAGCGTTTGCTGAGGGAGGATCGGTTCCCTAATAAGCGTCTTATTGTTACTCTAAGGGCTCCCAGAAATGGCAGACTCTCATCATCAGTTCTATGCAAAACTTGTCTGACTTACATTTTAAGTAATTCAAATTTGCATTGAAAAAAAAAATGAAAGAAAGAAGGAAATAGCTTGTTGACAGAAGTTCTAAACCCTTTTTAGACCCATACATGCAAACAGGGAGAAAGCCAACCAACAAGGACACATGGAAAGATTCTGGGCCAAGCTTTTCTACTATGAAGGTAAAAAATGCTTTACCTGTTCTAACAGGTCTCTTTTTTTTGGCCTTATCTTTTCAGAAGTGAGAGGAAATTACATCATCACCTTTGTACCAACCTGCTATATCTCAACATACCATCATGACAGATGTCATGATGCCTCATGCATCCACACCCAGAATGAATAATTGATCAAACATGAACACGGCAGGTAGTGTCTCAATGGATCTACTGTATTTTAGGAGTGTGAAGGTGAACCAATCCTGGAAACGATCAAATTACTGAAGAGGCTAAATTGTCATTGCTTAATTAATCTAAGAATGTAGGTTTATTGAAGTTGTGAAAACTTTAAGAATACAGAAAAAATAACTTATTTTCTCAAGTCTATTTCAGGATGAAGGATACTGAGTATATCTGACCATACTCTTAAAAAAGTAACCCAGCAAGATACTCCGGGAGAGAATGTTTATGCAACAACAGCCTATCGTTGCCTCGGGCTTTAGAGTCACGGCAGGCCAAGTCTGCGTTTACACAGCCAGAGCCAATCACATACGAGCTGTGGTCCCAGCCCGCCTCCAGCTCGTCATATTGGGATCCGGGAGAAAGACTATAAAGCAGCCCAACAGGCCAAGAGAGAGAACGAGACAAGACTAAACCATGAGAGACAACAACACCGGTGTGTCTATCCTGGAAATGGCTTTTACCGACTGCGTGAAACCTACTGAGCTGTCAGCAGACAAGAAGGGGATGAAGTAAGTCACTGCAGCATTTAACAAGGACAATTCATCTTTTTTCACTTAACTGTGCCCTTATTTGTAAGAAAAAAACACATTAGTGACCTCTGCTTTTTAATAGGAAGAAGAATTGGAGACACAGAATAAGGTTTTTGCTGAAGACAAATTCTTCCCAGTCAGTTTTGCATCTAATGAAAAATCGACCATACAGGTAAGATCGCTCACTTCAGAGGTTACGAATTGCATTATTTTGTTTTATGATTTTCTAGTCTTGTGCTTCAAGTTTCCTATGAATTAACATTTATACAAAAGGTTTGCATTTTGCTAAAAGATGGGGCATGACCTCAAGTTTAGAAGAATTCAAGAGAATGGATAAAACTGATGTTAAAATGAAATAAATCTAATTAAAATGAGTGCAACTAAAAAAGTTTAATCATGGGTTTTTTTTTTTCTATGTAGTATTGTTGTAGAAATACGTAACCACAGTAATCAATGGAAAGAATTTAAAGTGACCCGTCAAAACTAGTAGCTGTTCCAGCTATAATTATCTCTCACAAGAGCCCTCTTCTCTGTCCTCAGGCCTAGTGTTGATGACGTGAACCAATGGACACAGTCTCTTGACAAACTACTCAGTCATAAATGTAAGTACCATTCATCCCAGCAGTGTTATATAAAAGCATTTCAAAGTTTGAACAGTAACTAGGATCTGAAAGAAAGCCGTTTATTGCCTTCAATAAAACGTCTATTATGGCTTTGCTCATACTTTACCTTCCAATAATATGATTCAGTCACACGCCATGTCTGACACCCTTTGTCCCTCTATCTGTCTCTTCCACAGATGGGAAAGCTGCCTTCCGTATCTTCCTGAAGTCTGAGTTCTGCGAGGAGAACATTGAGTTTTGGACAGCGTGTGAGGATTTCAAGACACTCACGTTGCAAAAAGATCTGGTGTCAAAGGCCAACAGCATCTACGAGGAGTTCATTCAAAGTGAAGCAGCCAAAGAGGTGAGACCATCTGCCAGGAAAACATTGCTACATTTATTAAAATCTTACCAGACCTTTACAGAGTTCTATGTCTTTCAGGTTTAACAAAAATAGCATTGAGATTATTACAAAGACTAAAGATAATCAAAGACTCATTGTGGGTGTTTATTTTTTCACAGATTAACTTGGATTTTCACACCAAAAATGCTATCATCCAGAGTCTACATGCACCAACAGCAACCAGCTTTCAGGCAGCCCAGAAGAAAGTTTACAGCCTGATGGAGAACAACTCGTACCCCAGGTTTATCCACTCTGACCTCTACAAAGAACTGTATACACTCGCCAGGGGAGAGGGCAAACACATAAAGTCCTAATCAAACCAAACACCCACCCCTAAAGTCCTTTGTTTACCAATGTGACTGTGAAGAACTGCAAACGCTGTTAATTCCAGGCACCGGCTCGGGATAATGAAGCTGAATGCAAATTCCACGCGTAGTGTGCCGCATGCAAAAATACTAAACACCAGAGTGATGCCAAACCCCCCCCACCCTCTGAGTGATTTCAACCAGGATGTTGGCATAATTCTTTTGGATACAACATGATGCTGAAAGAGGAGCCTAAACCAAAACCAAACTCACCAATATGGGATTAATGTCACATTTTCATCATTAGGTCAAAATCAACTCTGTGATAGCACAAAAACATTCACAATAATAATTCAGCTTCAATATGTTCTAGTGCTAGATTTAAAGCTGAGACATTGAAACAGTAACCTCTGAACCTCACATGAAACCGACAGTAGGAATGTATTCCCGGAGATTATATTCACCAGAAGACTTTGTACAGGAGTTACACACTTATGTAACCATAGACTGCTGTATTTGCACCAGTTTACACAAACAATGGTCTTTTTTATATCCAGTTTCCGCTAAAATCTTTATTTATCCTGAAACTACTGTGATAATGTATTATACTGTAAATTATGAGATACTGTGGTGCGTGTGTAATGTAAATGCTGGAGGCAGCTGGACTGCCTGCGAAATAAAATATGAAGTGAAAGATGAAACCCTCTGATGTCTTTTTAAAAAAGAAAAAAATAACTAATGAAAAATACCACTAAAATACTTCAAGGTCCACAGACATATTTCCGATAATGTTTCCATCCTTAAGTTTTTGAGTACTTTTCCTTTCTTACCTCTTGCTGTATGTGGCTCAGATTTAAATTATTTTTCAAACCTAATGATTTAAAGAAAATTAGGAATGTATATCAGCATGTTTTTTTCCTTTTTACGATTAAATCCCTACTTAAGAGGCTAATTGAGAGCTCAAAACAGTAGCAATAAGAACACTAAAATGTAGACTGATATGTCTGAGATATCACGCAAATATTGGCAAAAAGCAGATTAAAAAAAATCTAATATGATGTATTCACACTAGGTATAGAATATATTGTTCTTTTTATCCTGCTGCATTTTCCAATTAATTTTAACAAGTTAAATTGCCCTATAGAGGGAACAGTTACATTAATGCGTACTAGAAAAAATATATTTTAGAAACAGTGATCTGAATGTTTACTCAGACAACATTCCTCTTTGTTTTAAAACACCACCTCAAACTTTGCTGGACTGAGTTACTGCACTGTAACAATAAAGCTGTGAGGCAGCAGGCACATCCAGCCTCTGCCGTTCCTGGGCCAGCTGAGGCTGTGAACTCACACCGGGGGGGCTGACAACGCAAATGATGTATTGACGTTGCCCCCGAACTCGCCACAGGCCTGTGGCCCGCTGTCATGGTGTGACGGCTTCGTTTTAACCAGCAGCTCTCAAAAATCCTATGCTCTGCTGGCCTGCAGGTTCAGGTAGCAGATGACAAATATATAACAGCGGCTAGTTTGCACCAGTGGGCTAAGTTTAATGTCAAGGAGTAATAATTTGAAGCTTCACTCTGAAGATTATTGTCTGCCATCATTCATTGCCATCTGGGAAATCTCTTCTGCCTTCAATCATCACAAAGTGGCTTTCCCTCTTCCATTCTTTGACTTTTTTTCAGTTCACCGGCCATATGAAAAAGTAGAGACCTGCATTTCTGTGTTCTCTTTGTAGGAGGTACTGCTGTCTTATTAAAAAGGTAACACTTTTGGCATAGTTTCCAATAATAAGATATATTTTTCACTGTTACAGTCTATAACTTTAGATATACAGTGAGAAAAATAAGAGAGAAGCATAATCTCAAATTCAAATTTCAGACCCCCGCATGATTTCCAAGAGAGAACCTGAAAAGTCACAGGGTGTTCAAATACTTAGGTTCCTCACTGTAAGTCAATCATCCTTTTCATGTCTTACGTCCTGCCTGAAAGCGCTTTTAATCTTAACATCATTTGTTTTCCACCTGCTGCTTTTTCATTCAGATAGTTCCAATCAGTTGTAGTAAAAACTGCCAGCTGGAGCCTCCGTTTGTTGAGGTAGTTTGATTTCTCTTGACTTTAGTTCTCTGCCGATTCAGCATTTCACAGATGTTTATGTTACAGATGAAATGTTCAATCTTTTTTAGCAACTCATCTGTTTTTTTTTCTATTAAAATAATCCATGAATTTGGGGTTTTGAGCAGATGGCTTCAAATGCAAAGCAATTAAATGATAATCAGCTCATGTTCTTTAAATCAAAACTTTATGTTAATAAAATGATCAATAATGATCTGAAAACATTCAAGCCCAGCTCCGAAGGTCCAAAAACATCTGCTTTATCTGGGTGGAGCTGTTGCTCCATGGGGGCTCTTAAACCTCTTGAGGAGCTGTATGTGATAATGAGCCGTACAAACAAACTTCCCTGGAACCTTCAAGTGGACCTGACCAGCACACATTCCGTTATGCCACATGGTGGATATTTTTAACACTTCAATCCTTTTTTTGTGGAACCTATGTCCTTTCCTGTATATGGCTGTACTTTGCTTGGTGACCCTGGCTGTGCACAGACAGATAATTAATACTACAGCAATAAAGTACAGTGCGGTGGTAAAGGCATTCATGACCACCTATGAGAACTACAACAAGCTCATAATGGATACCTGTTGTTTGCTCAACCATGTGGCATGATAGGAAATTAAACAGACATGCTGTTCTCTGCCTTTGAGCTGGTAGTAAGTAAACCTGCAGGTTTTCATTGGTTGCCATGCATGTTCTTGGCAACCGACTTCTGGGCTCAGATCCAAAGAGTACTAGAGGTGCGTATGTAAATACTCCATCCAAAATTAGAAACAAGCCACGTCTTGCTTTGGTCAGCAGACTGCAGATGCGTCAGATGTTCAAGTACTGCCCATAAGTCAGCCAAAAATGGCTTGTCAGTAGGTTTCCATCCAGATACTGTTTCACACAGCCAGAGAAGCTTTTCCAGACTCATGCTCAAAACAAGATACTTTTGTGGAACTTGAATATATAAATATCTTCTGAGCAGCATTGGGTTCTATGAACTCGTCTTAGTAGCCATTTCTTTATTCTCCATCGATGATGAATATACAGAATAGCCTGGGATCTTGGAAACCCTTTTTGAAAAATACCTGGTATAAATGTGTGCTTATATGCATAATTTCCTGGATTTCATACCACGTTACGTTTTCAGGCAAATAACTTTTAAGGCAAAACTCAACTGGGATTGAGTGGCAGGTAGCCATCCTCCCCACTGCTCACGTGTCTCAAACTGAGCTGTTTATCTGATTTCAGGGTTCCTGGAGTGGAGTGGCCAGGCAGCCTTGTTGCTGTAAACAATGCAGGATGTCCTGACTAGTTTGGAGTTCAACTGAAATCTTTTTGTATTAAAAATATTTTTTAAGTGGGAAGCAAATTAACAACTTGGCTCCATTTTTGTTTAGTTAAAACGAAAGCATCTCAACCACAAAATTACTGCAGTTTTAAGTGTAAACTCACCGGTGATGATTCTGTCGCTTGTGTAATTCATGCCCACACAATCACCCTAGAATGGAGAATTTTAGCTCCTGCTGCTCCTACACACAGTACACTGTAGCATGTAACCACACATTAAAATAGAGGCACTGAGGGGAAATAAAAGGTTAAAACAGAACTCAGATATCCAATTTAACTATTCAACAGTTTCTGTGAGGTAATCACTTAAATAATCTTAGAGTATTCTTGACAGACTCTGTAGTCTTATAAGGTAATAAGGTAAACAAACCAAAGTTCCCTGTTGTTGCAGTGCTCCAACAGTAGATGGAGGCAGAGATCCACCACCAAGTCTGAGGAAATACCTGCCAGCCTGCGCATGAACTCAAACAATTCACAAACATCTCAACATTTTATTATGAAAATAAGACAGAACATAATTTGAGCACATATCTCCTTCATTCATGCATTAAAACTGATGAACACACATGAAGGCCGTGTTGTAGTCTCTGCTCCGGCTGCAGCGCAGCACTCTGGATGGTCAGCTGTGAGGCGCTGCTGGTCACTCTCGACACTTCATATGAATGTGGCAGATGATATACAGGATCTGTACACAGCTCACTGATGAAAGAGTGACTGGGGGGTTCTGGTGCATGTGTGTGTGTCAGAGGCTGGTCTGGTGAAATGTTTGCTGCTCACTTGGCCTCCTGGGCTTTTTTGGCGCTTTGTTTCTCTTTTGCCTGGACAGAAAAATCCCCAGATATCTCCATTAACATATGACTGGATGATTGATATCCTATTTGTGAATTCTTTGCAAATAAAAACAACTTATTCTGGATTTATATATTAATGAAAAGAAAAATAAGAAATGTCCCCTTATACATAGAAAAGAAAGCTTCCACTGATGAGGCACAGAGATGAAGTTTGCCCTCAAGAGTGGCTTTGGCTTTCATCCATTTAAGCTACAGGCACTTACTTTCTTTGAATAAAAATTTTACCACGACCTTAAAATAAAAAACCTATTTGTGGCACTGTGCTCATTAAGTTGAAGTGCACATTTAGAGGTGGATGGCCAAGTTTCTAAATGTTACTTCCACCAAATCAGAGTAAATACAGCAGCACAGGCTGCAAAAAAGGGTCAAAGAATACCTTCTCCACCAGTGGTATTAACTGCTGGTACTCTGCCAGTGTCTTCAGTAGCTCCATGATGAACGGAAGGTAGTTGTGCTTTCGTCTGATATTTTCAATCTGAAGGACAAAACGTCTTTGTTTAAACAACTTTTATTAAAGAAAATATCACTCTCCTTTGCAATTTTATCATTTCTAGGACTGATATTGGGGTGTGACACTGCAACCGGAACTCACCTTATATCTTTTGAGTTTTTGATTCTCCTCTTCAATGAGGAGCTGGTACTTGGCAATCTCTGACTGAATGGAGCTGAGAAACGTGCTGCTCTGATCTGTGTCCATTGGCTCATCCTGGAAAAGAGACGGGGGAAATGTTTCCTACAACAAGCATGAGGTCTGACTATTTTACAAGAAAAAGGGAAAGCTGTGTGCAGACTTGGGAAATATTTGTGATAACCAAGCATAATAGTATTGTTTCAATATAATTTTGTATGATCAGTCAGAAAAATGCATTTCGCTAAGTCATAACTTTAAAATCTTAAACGGGCATGCACCTGCATCTGCTTTTGATGATGAATGTTTCCCAATTTAAGCCATTTAAAACCTCTCATTGGCTGACCTCTACTGGTCTGTTTGAGTTCTAAACTTACAGCGAATAAGGAATTTTCACCTTCTAGTAACTTCAGTTCTGCACTGTTTTTCTAAAGAATAAGCATCAGATTTGGTGAGGGCTAATATTGAGCATAACACACAGACATTTCAATTCAAACTTAATTATGTTAGAATTTGAAATATCCAGTGAGTAAATATTTTAGCACAACATGATGCTTTCATATATTTTTTCATATCAAAGAATAACTCATGACTACACAACAAAAAGATTTACTATAATTTGACAAAGCAATCTTCACTTCCAATTCTTTTATAGCTAAATGTTAAATGCAGCTTCCAAATTAAAATAAGTGTAAATACTGTTTCTGGGCGCATTAAACTTGAATTAGTCTCTTTTGAAGCCACAAACCTCAGTTAGCTGGGTCTGGAGCTCTGCAATTTTCCTCTCGTATATCATCTTCCTGTCTGACACGATGGCCATCAGATTGAATCGGATTTCACCTTCACTATACCTGAAGATGAAAACAAACAACTATCAAGAATTGGTTAAAAAGTACCACGAATTCAAAATAACTTTCTACATGATATTTACTTCTGTATTCTCTTCTCAATTACGGGCCGAACAGCGCTGATCCAGTCTTCTTGATTGCACACACCTGGTGACAAACAGGACAAAACCGTATTGTAGACGCACATACCAAATCATCTAAGAAGTAGTCATATGGAAAAGGGACAATGCTTAAAAGCAATAAACTGAGCAACATTTGTGTTTACCCAAGTCGATTGGTCCCTCCCGAAGTCCATCGAGCTCATACAGTCGGCCATTTACTGGAACGTAGCTCACAAAGTGAAAGGCATCCTCATCCTTCGCTGAGGACTTTGCATCAAATTCAAACATTTGCTGTCTTTAAAAAAGAAAAAGATATTAAAAACATTTGAAAAATGCCGTAATCTTATTTTTTCCCAACCTTTTTTACTTCACAAATTAAATCAGAAAATCTGCACTTCCAACCACAGCTATTGTTTCACAAGTGGACAGGTGCATCAAAACAAATGGGCCAATCATCCCACGTGTAAAAGGGGAAGAAGCTAAACACGACATACAGCCAATAAAAGCTGCATAAATAAAGAAGCAAGTAGTCGCTCACCTGGCAAAACCGTTGTGAACTTGTCGGATCACTTCAGAGTTGCTGAGAGCCAAACCTTTCATCTGGGAAGTAGAGAAGCAGCATTATAACACCGGAGATGGAATCTTGCTTTAAGGATGTGGCATTTCACACTTAATAGTCACTGACTAATTAGAAACAATTATCTTAACCGTTTCTCTGTGACTTCAAACTGTATTTTAGTTGAAATGTGCATGTCTATAATTCAGTGTTTGAAAACATCTCAAGGTAAGTATGAAATAAGCTTTTCAAATACTCCAAAACTGCCAATTTATTTTAAATCACAAGTGAAAAAGTTAACATTTTAATTTACATTGAAAATGAATAATCAGAAACTTACCGCTGCATCAAAACTCTGTGAAAACTCTCTGAACTCTGTCAGTGTGTCACCAAGCAACATGTCTGAATGTGAGCAGTTGAGCAGAACACTGACTATCGCCTGGGTGGCACAGGCATTGTTAATGACCTGAAAACACACAGATGGAAAATAACTACAGTCAAATGGAATGATAAATTAAGCTTTAATTTGTGTTATGTAAATGAACACACATCCATTATACATGATGCCAAATCACATCTACATCATTTTCTTTGTGCACATCAACTAGGGCAGGAAAGATTCATTTACATACTCGGGTTATGAGCATCATCCCTACAATTTGCTGAAGGCTAAACACTTATTGCGCAAGACAAAGAAAGTAAGCAATTACCCAATTAGGCCGAAAAAACTAGCAGACTTGCAGATTTAGGTTTCTAATTAATAGTGGTGCTTTCAAAGACATACAATTTGTATACATTCTGTAGCAGTTAGATAATGAATTGCGTAGGAAGAAATAGGCATATGCTAAAGAAAAAACTTAGAAATATCTTAAAAAAAAAAAAAAGAAAAAAAAATAAAGTTTTATTATCTATAGAATAGCTTGATAATATTTTGAGTAGAATTTAATATTCACCTGTTTAGCAAAGAAGATGTGGTCAAGTCTTGAATCCTGGACAATGGAGCCTGCTGGCTCTTCACCAGGCTGCCACTTGAACAGAAAAATCAACCCGTGAACTGGTCTAGAACAAAACGGACAAATTAGTGTGGTGCCTTTAAAGGAAACATGTGAGACGATAAAGTCAAACGATGGGCATACTTCAAGTTCTCGAAATTCTCCGGCTCCATACTCCATATCTCTTCAACCTGAGCACCTTTGCAGCCTGAAAATACAAATACATTTCAAAAAGACATTTGGGGTGGTAATGATTGTTTATGGAACACATTTGGTTAAGTTAAGAGCACCTTCTGGGGAGTAACTGAAAGTAGACCCAAATCAAAACAAATGGCATCTAATGGTTTGTTTTCAAACGCAGTTGTTTGCAACGCTGAGTAATGCTAGCAATATAGCTTTCTAAATTAAGTAAACTACGGCTTTCCAGTTGTTATATGCAAAATATTTCAAGGTTGCTCTGTAATAGTCGCAGTTACGAACTCGTAGTTAATGGAACGTTTAAATTCTAAAAGGTTAACATATCTGCACTGGCAATTTTAGAAAGTATCGTTAGCTTTAGCGTAGCTAGCTATAGCTAGCTAGCTCTTTGGCAAAGCCACGTTACTTTGAATGAAGCTCCGGTGCTACCCAACAAAACACTCACCAAAACCTTTGATGAGCTCTGTAAACACTCCGGGGTCACTCTCCATCAAACACCACTCTCCCGCGCTTCCAGACATTTTTTGCAAAGTTGTTAACTCAACCTTCTCTACATATATGTTTGTATTAAAAGCCAATAGCTTCCCTGCACAACCGCTAGTCAAGCTAATTAATTGTAGCACTAGAAAGGCTTCACCGTGATGCGGTGCCAGACGTGATAGGGAAGTGCGCACGATTTGAACCTCAGCGTTCACCGTGTGCACCTAGCTGATAGTTTGCGGCGATACCGCTAAAGATCTGACGTAGTCATACATTTTAATAGATGCGAGTTTTAGAATGCTTTCAGATAGACGTTATATTGGCAATTGGAAACGTAAAGATATTTATTTTCATATTTAAACTTCATATCCGCCCTCCTCCATCAATGATCGACCATATGATGAAGCACTTCCAACAGAATGTAATAGTAGGCCATCTTTCATTTTAAAAACAATACATCTAATTGTGAAGACATTTGAAAAACGCGCATTGACAAGCAACATACTTCTAAGCCAACAGACACAGCTTTCAGACAAGCAGAAGGGTATTTGAACAATAACATTTATTATTAGCATCACAACAAAGGGTCCGATCTATACAAATTTAAGTATTTTCACTTTCCAAGGCATATTATATCTCCTCCAATAAGAAAAACTAATACAAAATTAATTGTATTATTGTGATCGTATGTTCGATTATTTTGTGAGTTATGTCAAATAATTTAACAAAACGACCATGAATATGAGAAAAGTGCTTCCACTGATAACACTTTATCGAAATATACACATTTGAAATAATCATAAAAACCCTATGATAAATTATAAATGCATTCACATTCGCATCCCATTCACGCTTTGATATATAAATAACACAATCATGCTGAAACAATGTGCAACATCTATAAGGAAAATAAGCATTTTTTTTACAAACATAGGATTGAATAAAACTACAAGAACGGCTAGTCATTTAGCAGCCTCAAACTGTCCACTTCCCGATCCTTCGGGGTTGGTTGCAGCACAGCAGGGTGCACACTGCTCTATGAGGGGCACCAACCTCCCCTGCTTGTGGAGCTGTTTGGTATCTGAGCCGCCCCCGATGCAGTTCCCATTGATGAAAACTCTTGGCACCTTCACACATAAACATCATTGTTACATTTCCAGAACATGTATGAGCCTTTTTACTAACAGATCTTACTTGTAGAACCCTTGTGTCTGTGTGGGCAACAGTTTAAACACAACTGGCCTCATGACAATTTGTAAAGATCAGATGGAAATGTACTCATTGATATCAGCATTGGTATTCAGTGTGTCAATAACAAGCAAAGCAGAGTCTTTGAAATGCAGAATGTTTCTTAGTGATTACTGATAAAATTAAATAATATAGTTCCAGGCTTATAAATCATAAAGGTTTAAGTTATTTTATTATTTTTCACATCATAGTGCTCAGATACAATGGAAACGTTATCTGAGTCTTTAAAGAGAGTGGGACATGCTCACAAAAGATGGTGACTTACTGTTCTGGCACCAGTTATCTGAGCTAAGGCTTCTTGCAGTCTCCTCCCATCATTATGCTCGTCCAGTTCAATCACCTTGTAGGTTGTGCCGATTTCATTGAAAACATTTTTGGCCATTTTACAATATGGACAAGTGGTTTTGGAAAATATCACAACGCAGTTCTGTGAAACCATTTCCTGATGGATAAATATAAAAAAAGAAGCTCTTGTTAAATATCAGACTTCATAACACAAAAAGAGTTAAACAACCGGCCATGTTTCATTAGATAATTACATATTCAATCAGCGAGTACACATCTGCAAAGATTACAAACTATAAGACAACTGAGTTTAAACACACAGCAAAAAGAATTTGTCATTCAAAAGTAATGTGATAAAAATGTGCACTGGTTATTTTGAGAATCAGCCCCTTACTGGATAATATTTTGAATAACCTGGGATCATTCATAATCAAATTCTAAAAAAAACATTAAGTTAGAACTAATACAAGGAAAAACAAATGCAGACCAGCAACCAACAGTCAGACAAAAAGTACAAATTAAACTTAGCTGCTTGCTGTCAACTCCAATGTTTCACTCCGTAAAGACATTAGGACAGAGTCCACTAAATCTTTGCTATCCAATAAAGAATACCCACAGCAATTGTAAAAGAAATGAGAGCAGGATTCAGACGTGTGAACATCTACTTTACCTGGACAAACTGTACACATGCTGTACTGGTGAGGCTTCCAGCAGTGGAGGAGGTAAAGTTTCCCATTCTGAAGAAGACAAATCACATGGTGAGTGCATGTGGGACTTAAGTCTAGTTGCATTTAAGTAACACACAAAGCAGTAAGTGCAGCGACAACAGACAACCTTAGAAAGGTGAGGATACCACAAGAAGGGTAGAACTGAAGCCATATCATTAGTATATTAAGGGTAGCTAGCGGAACATTGTATCCTCCCTGCAACCTGCTCATGTCAACGGTTACAACAACGTAGTGAATCCACTAAAGAAGCTATATTTAAAGCCTTGTTCACAACTGGATCGGGGTTTATGTGGTGGGTAATCCAGGATTAGAGCCGTTTTCATGGCACAAATGACACGCTAACAGCCAGGATCTATCAATACCAGTATCAGACCTGTTATTAATTGCATATGAGTTGGTAGATCAGGAGTTATCTGTGTTATGAATGCAGTCAATATGGCAGCCTTTTCTTAACTGTTGCACCAGTGTACTTACAGAGGGCCACAGATTTTGGAAGATCTCACATTTTCAAGTCCAAAATCATTCTGACATCAAACATAGCACTAGAAACTTTGTAAATGGTTACAGTTCCCCTGGAAAATGTGCAGATACAGCTCTAATGTATTACTTTATTTACAATCCCTGTAACTGTGTCGTAACAGCTGGTTGTTACATCAAGACAGTGAGAGCTCATTTAAAGACGTAAGATCTGAAAATAGTATTTGGGTAACAAGTATGTTAGTAAACTAATAAGAAAGTAATAACGCATCTGAAACGTGTTTCACCATGTTTCATTAAACCATCAAGTGGTATATTAGGTATTTAGTAAAAACACCACGCCGTTATCTGCATTGGTAAAGCAAATGGCTGTAATGTAAGTGTAATGTTACGTAAATCAGATATTTCTTAACTGGTCCAACGTAAGCCGATATTCCCAGAGTAGAACAAACTATTTGTACACCAAACACAGCATTTATCCATCAAAATCATTGAGTTACAAATGCGATTAAAGTTACTGTTGGTACACAACAAGAATGTAGCAGCTAAGTGGACAAGGCTATATCGCTTGAACACCGAGAACTAGTATAAATCACACAATTTATCGGCATATTAAAGCACTCCAAATCACAATGAATTATAATCTGTGGATATTTTATAAACGTAGTTGGACTGAAGTCAAGCAAGCAGGAATGACCTTCGGCAGCCGGTCCATGCCACTCTAAGAAGACATTCTGCTCGGAAAAGCATGGTGAGAAAAGAGCATAAGATCACTAAATAATAATAACGGTTTTGCCCTGGATGAAACATGCGGTTATCATACAAGGGGTTCCGAGTTAAGATAACACATTATCTATGGAAGATACACTTGCTTTTGCCGCTTCTTGGCACTATTAATCTCGACAGCCCACCTTACGTGACACAATGCTGTTTCCTCTTCCGCCTCCTTCCTCTCTTTTAGCAGTAAGTAAAGCAACCAGAGAGCTCATTTGCGCCATCGTGCGGACAAGAGTTGTAACATGGAATTTAAAGGAAAATTGTTTTTTGTTTTTGTTTTTTTGTCTTACAATTGACAATGCGTTTGTTATTTTGATTCCCTTACAACAACAACATCTTGAGTTACATTTACGTATATTTTGTTACAGGTTTAAACTGTAAAAAAATCATCATCATCATCATCATCATCATCATCACAATGTCTGGGTCTTGTTTTCCTTGACAACTATCGTGTAAGGAAGCACAGAATCGAACCACAAAGTCTTCTCTTAATTTCAATTTCATTTATCAGTATTTCATTTCAGACCCCTAAGGTTATATAGCTGACAGGTGAAGTATTTCACTTGAATATATGTGTTTGAAATAGGAATGAAGTCATGCTGCCGTGTGGCACAAGGCGTTCATGCAGAGTATATCACACTATCAAAAAAACATCACTCTATCCTAGTTAGAGTGAGTTATGCAGATGATGAGTCACCAGTGGATACTCTGAAACTCACCATCAAATTCAACAAAGAAACAACTTCCCATTGAGAAATGAATGCACAGCTTTTCAAACTCAGATCAATGAGATACAACAAAAATGTTTTGTCCAGGTCGATCCAGAAACACTGTGTGAGAGATTCTGAGTCTTGTGAGCTTAAATTATTCTTGTAGCGCTAAGTATTGTAAATGTTTAATATCTTACTCATGCGGCTAAATCAACTTTGAGGGAATGACAGCTCTAAGTGCTCTGTGAGACATATAAGGTCATAGGGGTCTAATTTAGCCCTTTCCCTTTCCTGACAGATTTTTCTCTTTTCTTCAAATATCGTGAGATATTTTACTGATTTGAGAATGTGATCATTTTTATAAACATAATGATATGTGATATTATACAGATTAAAGGGAGGAAGGAAAAAAAGTTCTGATTACAAAAGATCACTTGAGAGAATATCACAAGTATCACGTCAGAGCTACTTATGGCTTAAAGGATGGCCATTTGTGATTGGCCCATCTAGTTTTTTTTTCTTTTGTCAAAATGACCAAATTGTGCTTGTATTATAGTGGAAAATGTATCTTTTCTTTTGTTTGTTTTTGGCAGCGTGCAGTGTAGTTGTGTCTTTGTGAAGTAAAATAAAAATGATAATGATATAATTGATTGGTGCTTATGCTTATTTAAATGTCATCACATATAGTCCCAATGCTCTTGCTCTCTCCTTATTTGAACTACGTCAGCTCAGTTAATTAAGGCTTAGACACCCCAAGCCTGGTTCTGACTAAGCTTTCCTCCTTTTAAAGCTACTGTTGCCACATACACTGCACACCGACTTTTTCCATTGTAATGCTTCAATTTCTCAGAATGGCATGTTATGATTTTGTAATTCATGCTGACACAAAACACAAGGCACCAGGCCTAATGATCAAACCCAATACTAATCCTGATTATATACTTTTATCCTCAAACACGTCAGTCTCCCCTCACCTTTATAATGCAGGAGGAAAGACTTCAGTTCCGAAATTCCAATTAAAAATTTTAGCCTGCATTTGGCAGGAAGATCAAACCACAAATCGAGACATATCTGATGAAACGGCACAGAGGTGTTTCAGACACCTTTTACTTATCAAAACCAAGTGAAAAATGTTTCACCCCTCAAAATTACTCTTGCCATCCAGTAAATCAGCATTTTGGATACAGTGCAGATGAATATCCACACACAAAACCTGCCGGACAGTCTCATGGCTTAATCACCCGCTAACAACACAACTGCACATGATTAAAAAGAGGTTTGGATTAAATTAAAATCCAGCTCAACAACAGCCTCAGTAGATTCAGCAGTATATCTAACTCATACCTGATACAATTTGAGGTGTTAATTGTGGAGAAATAAACAGTAAAGACTGTCTGTCTCAGAAAAAAGTTAATTTGAAGCACATCATGTTGACTGTCTGGCCATGTGGTTGCCATGGAAATGGCCACTAAAAGGAACATGACCTCACTGGATAAAAGTAGCATAATTACATTTTCTGCTCCTTGATTAAAAAAAGGTTATGTCTCCTGATGTACCATATAAACATCATAGAGTCTAGTTTTATCCTTGATATAACAGCACTGTGATACTGGAAACACAGCAGTAGAAAAATAGATCCAAGGCTCAAAATTGTACCGGTTAAACTGTCAGACGGAAGCCTAGATAATCAAGTTCAACACTTAAAAGTGACATGAATATACAAAAGTTAATCCCACAAACGACCGAGCATACAGCAGCTTGGTCATGATGTGTGCATAAAGCATTTCAAGCTGTGATTAAGAGTTGACAAGTAGAACAAGCATTTGTCTACACAGATGGTGGATTTATGGTATATGTGAATGAGGCATAATTCACAGAGTTGCTTGATTGTAATGAATGCAATATAAATGCATTTCAGTTCCAAGATCATATTATACCAGCTGAAGAAAAAGCTGAAAAGTCTCTGAGCTTGGTCAAAGAATGAATTTTGATCACAGTGGATGATTTGTTTTTGGAAAAGAATGAGCAGCCATTAGTGAGATCTATATCTCACGTCACATCGTCATTAGTCCTCGGATGCTTCGCAGTGACAGATTAGAGTCAACATGGGGTGAGCTGTTGACAATGCCTCTTCTGAGTGATACATTTTGGGATACAAACCTGCGTAAGACATTGCACAGACTTAATTTCTCTGCCATTTCCTGCTTGTTAGAACTGCAGGAGGGGGGGTTGAGTAAATCTCAGCACTGAAAAACAGATTGCTGAAACCCACATGATGCTGTTTGTACTGTTGTACTGTGATGAAAACTCTTTTGCTTTACATACAAATATATTCTTAAAGAAGGTGGTTGTTCCTCACAGAGAAACCATATGAGCTCCACACGTCGATTAAAGGGTTGAGTTATGCCTCAAAGGTACTTGGTATAAAAAAGGCCCACATATTAGTAAAAAGCCCTACACCCCAGTGAGTGAGGACACGTATGATTTATATGTGAAATATACGTGTTACCTCCATATTTTTCTCAGTTACTTTTGAGGGTGTATTTATAAGCTGAAACACTGCAAACACTTTGTAGTCACTGAAAGAAAACAAAAAAAAACAAAAATGAATAAATTGAAGTGACAAGAAGAACACTGATGGATCACACCAGCCATTTCTATGGAATTCATTTCATTTTGCATGGAAAACCTGAAAGTAAAAGCTACTCTCCTCTTTCTCATTCTTGTGAAAGAGACTGAATAAATAACAGTGACAAATCTATGCATTAGTCGTTCTTTTGTGAGCGATACAAAAAACTCACCCTACAGGGAATAAGGGGTATAAAAGGAAGAATGATGTGTGTGATCAAATCGCTTTAGCTGGTAAACCACAGCAGACCTGATCACTATTATTTCTATTTTCACAGGGAATATCTAAAAAGACTGTGAGAGCTGAAGTTAGCTATCAGAAGATGTTTAATGGAGATCTTCCCACCAAACATGCTGACCTTGTGGTATATATATGCTTTTGAAGTTAAATTTGAATGAACACAACATTATTTACCTCATCCTGCTGTTCAGCTGTTGTTCAGCTCTGGCATCAAATCTCCTGCCGACAGTTAACAGAGTAAGAAGCACAGGATTTGTAGATGTGGCTGCAATTTTCACCAGGATTCCCTGTGGATCTCTGTCTGTACTTTGGTGTTACACACAAGAGGCACTTACAGCAGTGTCCTGTATTCCTGATGGATCTCAACTTTAATCTGCTTCATAAGCAGTCTGTCTGACTCATTAGAAAGAGCATGTTCATTTCTGATCAGAGAAAAAGGGAAGCATCATCTGTAGTTTTCACTCATCTGTTTTAGTTTTGTTGTTGAGTAGTCAGGTCTCAAAACCAAGTAACTGCAGACTGTATCTTTAAAACTACTCATCACCCTGTCTTTTGAGCACAGAAAGCAGTGTTTTCTTTGTATTTTTCCTTGTGTTCCTCGACGCACTGTTGCATTCACTCTACCATTAGTGGCCGCTTCAGGGCTGATAGCAACTTAAGAAAAATATCACTTGTGGTCTTCATTGATCAAAGTATAGCTTTTGGCCATAGCTTGATTGAGTGTTGTCGGATTTCTGCTTAACATTCAATTGGTAAACTGCATAATAACTCATTTCTGAGCAGTGTGTCAATAAAATCAATACACTTATCATGTGCATATGTTAAGTGTGCGTCACTGGGATTTTTCAGTCTGAGTGACTTTAAGTTAGTCAAGCTCAGATGCAGCTTGAAACACATTTGCAGCTACTTTGCATTATTAAGGAGATCCCCCTTTCTATGTATTCTGAAACTTTTGTTCAAAGCTTGATTCAAAGAAAAGAACCATGTCTCATTGTTCAGGGTGGAAAGAATCAAGTCTGAAAGGAAATGTCAGCATCGGTGGAGTGGGGATCTACATGCAGTATCTTAACCAGGGAAAGAGCAGATTCTTTTAATCCCAAAATAATATTTATTGGATAACATAAACAAACAAACAAATAAACAAAAAAACACTGGGCAGGGCCAAAAAAACAAAGAGAAAGAAGTACAACAAAAAGTCACTGATGAAAAACAGGATAAAGTACACACATAAATAACCTGTAAGAAAACACAGGAAATAATTAAAGAAAAATATTGCCAGAAGACACTTAAAGCACCCAGTGCTGTATTCCTGATGGATCTCAACTTTAATCTGCTTCATAAGCAGTCTCTCTGACTTATTAGAAAAAGCATGCTCATTTCTGATCAGAGAAAAAAGGAAGGATCATCTGTGCGTTTCACTCATCTGTTTTTGTTTTGTTGTTGATTCCTGTCAGGTCTCAAAACCAAGTAAGTGAAGACTGTAGCTGTAAAACTATGCATGATAAGTGTATAGATTTTATTGACAAACTGCTCAGAAATGAGTTATTATGCAGTTTTCCAATTGAATGTT